CCCCAAAACCCCAAAACCCCAAAACCCCAAAACCCCTACAAAATGAGGTTTTATTGAAAGTTCACAAATTAAGTTAGATCTTCATTGAGCTCATTGAAGTTCATATGGAGGAAAGAATGGAGCCGTTCAGCATTACGGTCTCCAATCCAGTCAGCAATTTCATCTTTAGTTCTGTAGCACAAATCTTCCAAGGACTCAACTTTGGAAGCTATCTTATTCACATTGTCAAAGTATATTCCTGGAAGTGTGGATAAAAGTTCATATGGCATGGACTTCCCATCATCATGGCTTTTCTTACTGGAGATAATATCAAGAGTGTCATCTTCTTCGTTGATCCCTTGTCCTTTCTTCATCTTTCCTACTTTTGAGAGCCTGTCAAGATCTGGGTCTCCTCAAGTCTTCTTAATATTCAAGAAAATTTCAGTTGTGTGTCTTGAATCTTGAGACCAGAGAAGTAGCATTCTAGGAAAACTGAGTGTAAGAATTGCCAATTTTACCATAATTGAAGAAGGCGCTATGTCATTCTCTTGTATAGACTCTAAATCTCTTTCTCTCAGTGTGAAGGGGATTGACTCATCAAATTCTATCATTAGAATTGGAGTTTTAAAGAATCTATCCATGTTCTTGATCTGATCTAACAACCGTCTGCCATGACATAGAGAGCTTTCAAAATCCCCAGTGGATACAGACTTCCTTTCAATTGCAATTTCGTTAGACAAGATGTAATCTCCAACCTGTAGTTGCATAGGAATGACTAGGAACCCTGCTAGATACAAATAATGTGGGTTCTGGCTCCAAAACTCCCTCATGTCGACTCCTAAAATCTGCTTCCTTGAGTACCAGGTTTCGATAGAGTCTTCCTTCGGGTATTTAATCTCTGAAATTCCGTATCTCTTCCTGTTGTTTCTCTGAATTTCCTTAATAATCTTCTTATCCTCTTCGAATGGATCTGGGCTAGGAAACCCCTTCTTGGATTTGGATAGCAAGAGGAGCTCTTTTAGAGACCGATTCTCTTTCTGAGTCTCGTTCAGGAAGACAAACTTCTCGGAACTATCTTTTAAGAACAATTGATGAATGCTTATAGGGATCCTGGTCTTTTTATCAAAATGTCTACTGCTATAAGCCTCTGCTCCTCGAAGAAGTTCTAGTGATGGCTCAAAGAGGATTATGTCATGCGGCTTGAAGTTTGTAGCAAATAAGTCAAATTCAGTGTGCCTCATGTTGAAAGCAACCTCAATGATTAGCTTTGGAAACAATCTATCGTATCTGAAGGATTTCTGGTCTATAGCAGTAATAGCAACATCAGTCATAGCTTTTGGATTCTTTGAGCCTGCACAAATTGCTCTAAACTCTTCCATAGCTGCCTTGCATTCTTCCTTATCCATGGTCATGGTTTCTTCATCAAGTTCTTTTTCTCTCCTTCTACGCCATCTGAAGACCTTCTCACTAAGATTAGAGAAGTATCAATTGAATTTTTGAGTCAACAGAATCCAACATTTATGAAGCAAATAGTTTTCTAACTTTACCTTCCGATCAGCTTGGTTCGGTATGGTTAAGAACTCCTCCCTCTTATCTTTTGCCCCATTCAGAAGGTTCTTGAAGTTCAGCTCTAAAACTGATTTGCCTTGATCTTTCTTAAGGAAGTATGAAGCTAGGTATCTTTCTAAATCTCTCTTAAATTTCTCAGTTTTGACAACAATCATGATTCTTCGCTTATGGAATATTTTCTCAGAAGGTTTCTTGCCAGGCCGATACACATTTTTCTGCTTAGAATCGTCAAAAATTTCCCGGTACTCGGCTTCAGCTTGCTTGTTAATTTTCTGAAGTATCTTGACAACTGTTTGCCATTTTGGAGTATACTCGCCTGTGATATTTACAGTAAAATCTTCTTCAAGTTCTTTTAAGAAATAATTTACTCTTAAGAATGACTTTTTGTAGTACTGCCAATATCCATTAGATTCCTTATTAAACTTCTCAATAGACTCAAGAGACCATGGCTCAAGAGGATCTACCAGTTCTGTACTCTCTTCGTCAGTATTTCTAAGTTGGACTTTAATCTTCTCCTTTTTTGTTGGTGCAGCGATTATTTCAACTTCATCATTCAAATCTTCATCACTAAGTCACTCCATAATTTCATCATGGTCAATTGCTTTTCGTCAGATTGTGAAGACTCTTTCTTTAGCTAATACATCGATTTCAGTGATTTTCTCGAGTACTTCGTGATTTTGGTACTTTAAGATTGTGTCTTCCTTATTTTGGGTTCTCTTCTCCATCCACAAGGTTAAGAAGGATACACCTCAGGAGTTATTCAATCTATACAGAAGAGCCTTTAAGTCACCAATGTCAATAATCATTTGCTTTGATTTTGGGCCAAGCATGTTAATGTACTTCCCAATTTCATGGTGAATGCTTCGCTCATATTTCTCTTCAAAAGCTTTTGAAAGACTAAAGAGCTTATCATTAAATCTAAACCGCTGCATTTCGACTTTGAGGACTGCTAAGCAGGTTTCTATCAAGGCGACTAAGTTGTGATGTATTATCCTCATCCTTTTGTTCATACTAATCTCGTACTCATAAATCTGATATTTGATATCTGCTTGGAGAGATATTGCAACGTCAGGACTTTCTCTGGCTAGTATTGAGAGTTGATCAACAAATCATATCTTCATGATCTCCCTGCACTTGTCTTTCATTCCTATCAAATGAGAAGCAGAGTCGCTTAAAACTTTAATAAATGCAGTGGGATTTTCTTTACGGATTATTTTGAATAGGAAATTCTCAGGTCCCATTGGAATTACCTTGCTAGCATGCAGCATGATCACCCCAGTGATAATGGATGAGGGAATTCTTCTAACAAGTAGATCAAGGATTAAAATAGTAGGAGTTACTGCAAATAATCCTCCTTTGAGATACTGCATACCTCGTATTTTGTTCTGACCTTCAGGTACTTTTTGATGCTAAGATCTCCAAATTCAGCAAGGTCAAGGATTTCATCTTCATAGAAATGAACTAGAAATATGAGATATGGTTTAGTATTGTCATCTCTTGGTTCAGTCTGCTCAATGTATCTCTGTAGCCAATATCCTATAGCTTTATGCACTCCAAGTCCTTTAGCAGTGATTCACAAGATATTCTTATGTCTTGTGAGCTGGTTAACCAAATTTGCTTCGTATTCAAGTAAACTCATAATTTCAATATCTCTTATTTAAATTGGGGTTTTGGGGTTTTGGGGTTTTGGGG